CCGTACTGGCTTTCTTGATAGTTATAAATGTGGAATAATACTGTGAAATTACTAAGATACGTGTGATATTGGTAAATTAATTATATTGGATAATGAAGCGAGTTAATTCTAACTTTAATATATATTTTTAGTTGCTGCAGTATATATTTTTATATATTTATATTTCCATATTTTTGATTATATAATAACTGTTACTAATTCTATAATAGGTCACTTGTCGATTGTTAGAAATTACTATATAATCAATTATAGAATAAGAAGAGAATTATTGTATCCTCCTCTCAAGGAATAAAAAGAAATACAAATCTTAATACCACGTTAACTTCAAAAGCACACATGATAAGATTATATACGGTACTTAGAACTTCTCTTAAAAAAGGAAAATATCATCAAGTTGATACAAAGTAACAGAATTGCGGCAATCTCTAAATACGTTAAATTGAGAAAATAAACAACGAGGATTTAAGGTTCATCAGGACGTTTCTCGGGCAATTTGTTCTAAGATGCAATTTTAGCAGCGTACGTTGGGTACAAGCGAATAACATTTCTTCCAATTGGTTATGTCAGCACAGGACATCAAATTCTTTTCGAGGGAAGTTGTGTATATACATGGCTCTAGCGTATTTTCCTGATTATTTTCTCTGAATACCAGAAATGTACCACGCATAATTCAAATATCCCGACTTAAAAATGTTATTGTTGTTATTATTTTGTTATTGATATTATAACATTAATCATACCACAAATATGAATTTTTTCATATAAATGATATTAAAATCTATTTTCGTAACTCACACCAACTCCAAGTCAAATCAGGAATTTTATCTCTTTTTTAACAAAATGTTTGGAATACGGCGAAATTAAAAAATAAATTACTTTTATGCGGTAATGTAATTACAAGTAGAGAATTAAAAGTAGGAAAATGGACGCTAGCAGATAATTTTTTTGTATATATAAAAACTCTTTAAATATAATATCATATAATTAGATTTAGCACTGTTGTGTGTGCTAGTCGTTTCACCAAGCGACATTTATTTTTTTCTGACACGCGCACGTTGGTTTCGAAGGAAATGAAATATCAAAATTTGATATTTTCTTTTCTGCTCATAAGCACGGAATAATACATGAAGTTTCGCGAAAAGAAAAGCGGGGAGCAACGACGACGCCCAATGTCGAGAACAAAATTTCAACACTGCGTTCTTCATCAGGATTAATGTCGCTTTGCATGTTTGCATATTCAAGTGATGCCACGTTTCTTGTCGGAGAAGCGGAAAGAATATTCTTATTATATGCACTTATTATTCGGATTGACGATAATGGCTAATGTCATAATCGTGCGTGTCGTTTCATCGCGACAGTCCTTGTGGTTTGTAAATGGAATTAATTATTTATATCGGATCATAATCGCAGGAGTAACGTATAGCATCAACGAAGTAATTTTACAAACTTTTATTTTCGGAACAATTAACAAATAAAATAAAATTAACAAACAAAGTGGCACTATTTCCTGATACATACAAAATATTTGTTATATGTGGCGTTTCGTATGTTTTCTTCAAATTCATGGAAGAAGAGAACCAGAAATGACAGTCGCGGATATTTCTAGAATGTCGATATCGAAGAGATGGTTTAAAATGTCGGCGGCCTCGGAACGACGTTTAAGTTCTGATGTACGCAGTGCACACACACACACACACACACACACACACACACACACACACACATTCCTTCTGATGAAATTCAGTCACCTTCAAGTCCTTCAAGTGTTACACTTCCGCCGTATTCACTGCCGGAGGCACGAACGGAATGAAGGTTGCAACACGCGAGGCAAGAAGAAGAACAAATGGGGAAGGAAAGTACCGAGGAAGGAAGGGGGAAAGAGAGAAGAGAATATGGGGTGAATTACAGGATGCGTGCTGTTTCCTTCTTGGTCGTCTTCGTTCCGCATTTTTCCCCTAGATAGCTTTTACAAGCTCAGATATTGCATTCTATATGTATTTTGTAAAAGCCGGATATGGTACGCATCTGCTCTTTTTGTATGCTATTGATTGCAGCAATTTTACAAAACTGATGAGTATATTAGTACGTCAGAGAGATTAAACAAATTATAATTATCAACAAACACGCGTTATTAAATTTATGTGATCACAATTAAAAGTTTTCCATGTTTGTGTAAAAAAGAAATCCATTGCATACATACAAAGATTGTATAATCTTTTTAATATTTTTAGATATTGCAAGTCGCAATTGGTTTTCAGAAGGAAAATAAGCAGCGTATTTATGAATTTTTATACACATCAACTGGAATTATTTGCAAATATATAGAAATAGTTTCAGCATGTCGATAATATTAAATTTTATAAAAGATTATCTTTTCGATACATTTCTTTTAAATAGATATTCCCCATGGATCTTTTCATAAATATGCATGCGGTAGATGGTTATCTTTTAAAACATACCTTCTCTTTCATCCCCTCTCTGTCTCTCCATTTTTCTTGTTCGTAGCATCTTAAAGGAATACGTAATAAAAGTTTTCATAAATATAAATTTAGCCAAATACACGTAACTTTTTATAAAAGAATGCAATTTCCGCGACACTATTGTTTCCATTGGATTATTTTAGTTTCTGCTTAAGGTTTTCATTTAATTTTCACATTATCATTTTTACACGTTTATATGAGCCCGAGGTAATTCAAAAACGCACATCAACTATTAATACTTTGTACAAACTTTCTTATACCCGTTTCTGAGCAATAATTTTTGGTATGCGTATAAAGGCACTGTGAGAACACAAATATCTATATTATGTCATGGCAAGTAAATTCCTTCGTGCTTGTGGTATAATCGCCATTTCGTCTTCCTATATCTTCTCGCATAACTTACATAGAACGTGAATAACGAAATAAATCATGCGCCCTCGCAATATCGGCCCCTATTGGCAACAAGAATCCGCGGAAAATAAATGTATCGGTTACATACGTCCGTGCGTAAAAAATAAATAAAAAAAAGGAAGAACTACGCGCGCATCGCGCGCACATTTGCAAGCCAAAACAGTACAAGCTGATACGTTGGTTCGCGTATTCGCAAACCCACACAGTGCTTAGTGTATTAAACGGTCAACTCGTGGCCATGCACAACAGAATTCAATTTTCGCAATCGTAGACACGAATGGCCGCCGACAAGGAATAGTCAAAAATATATAGAACATACTGAACACTCTCATTAGAGAATAGTTACAGGTTTACGATAATTCCGTCCGTCCGGATAAAGGAAACAGACGAATGGTTCTCGACGAGTACACCCGGTTTCGGCCGTTGTCCTCTTCCCCCCTTCGGTCTTCTCTTTCATGTGCAACTCCTACTGTCTAGGCGAAACATCGCAAATTCCATAGTTGGGAGTTTAGATAGCGGATACCGGATGCTATTATGTGCTATATATATATATATATATATTCCGTGAACTTTACAGTCAGTAGACACTGCGATACTCGGAGAAATTTACAGTCTGAAAGATACCGCCGGGCGATATATATCGCCGCGGCGCCACCCCGCCCTTCGGAGCTCTATGTAGAACAGGGAATCGGCGGAGATGGAAGGTCTCGTGGGATAAGGAGATGATTTCTGTCCTTAAGAGGGTCTACGAGGTTGCGTTGAAACGTTCCGAAGCCTATCCCACTCCTTTTCTCTGTCTACCTTTTCTCTGTCTACTTCTCTCTTTCTCTCTCTCTCTCTCTCTCACTCTCTACGTCTTTTACACACCCTCGTCGCGCTCACGCCACAGCACCGGAGGAGAAACACTATAATGCCTGTCCATCTGTCAATCCGACTTCCCCCCGTGTGTACCTTCGATCTTTTGCCTACCGGGGACGAAAGCGTTCCATTTCAAGCGATCCACGGGTGAGTGGGTAGAGGAGCCCGTGAGTTTTTGTTTAATTCCGAGATTGCGCCAGAAGGCACTCGTCTCGAACGGTGACGTGCGCAGATGGGACCCCGCGAGTTTTTACTTCCACGTTTCATTAGGGAGAAGACATTCAATAGCCCGGATGGCTTTCTTGCGTGAATTTATCGTTTCGCTTAGAAAGTTTGATCGCGATTAAAATCACCGTGCGATCGCGGGGAAAGAATGGCGCGCGCGCTTGCATTTCGCTCGCGAACAGTTGTTTCGCATAAATTTCAACGCGCCGTGCCTTCGTGGAGAACCTGATTTCAAGGGTATAACTGTTGAAATAAATAATGGTAACAGCTGAAGTGACGCAATAAATAATGGCACTTGTTCAAATTGCTGCTGAATAAAAATTGATATCAAATTCGTCGCGCAAATTGTCATCAGGTGTATCGCCGAAATATCCTATCAGTTGGGCGACGAATAATCAAACGACCGTCTCACCTCGGTGTGACTAAAATTACCATTTTATCACATTTCGCTCGCTAGTAACCTTCGTAAAAAGTTAAACCGAAAAGTTAGGGACACATAGTTTAAAGTTGCGAGCACATACACGTATACATACACGATACGGTTAGACGCATCGTTTCTAGGAGGATATTTTACGGGCGGGAAATTTCCGCACGACCATTTACTCAGTCGAAATTTCCAAACAAACTTTCGGCACTCGCGAATTTTGTCCTTAAAAGCGAACGTTAGTAGTGACCACTAACTTTTTCTCCATTACAGAAATCCTGGAGGAGGAAGGATTCAACTGATACGCGTCTAAGCCGGGGATCCTAGAAACTGTGTGACCGGCCAAAGGGCCGGCTGGAAACAGTACCTCTCTTCTTGCTCGCAAAGAGGATCAAGAAGCCTTATCGTACTTACTACCTGGTCGAAGAAAAAGAACTAGAAGAACAGAGGGCGAGGGAGAGAGAGAAGCAAGACAGACAGAGAGAGAAAGAGAGAGAGGGAGAGGGAGAGACAGAGCGAAAGACAGAGAGATTGAGTGAGAGAAAAAGAGAGGGAGAGGTGGGAGGGAGGGAGAGAGAGGGAGGGGGAATATAAGAGAGAGCAAGCAGAAACGCATCGGGAAGATAAGGAAGAAGCTAAAGATGTCGGGCGCAGGCGAAAAGATGGAATCCCGGGCTAGACGTTCCAAGATCTCGTGATTGGTGTCACCGCGTGGCTGACAGGAGATAAGGTCGACCACGGAAGATCGGCCGTGATGGAAGTGGGAACGAGCGATTCGTTCGTCAGGTCGATCCTCCGCAACCTCTCGCTGACCCGCGAGCATCGGCACCTGGACGAGCCGCCCGGAACGACCGACCCTATCGATGTCGTTTCTACAACCCTGCAGGAGGAGAAGATGGTGGAGCTATTGGGCGATGCCCTGTCGACGAACGACAGCGGCGTCGGCAGCAGCGAGTCGAGTTGGTTCAACGACTCGACGGCGAGCGACTCGACCGACTCGACCATGCTGGCCTCTTCGTCCTTCGCGGAGTCCTCGTCGTACTCCACCCCGAGCGTGGACAACTACACCGGCATATCCGATCTCTTCGTCTTCGACGATCTGAACGACTACATCAACCGGCTCAACTACAGCGTCTTCGTGAATCTCACGGCCTATGACGGCGGTGCGGGGCTGAACCTCAGCAGCGTCAATTGCACGTCGTCGATAGTCACCGGAGGTGCCGGGGACGTCGTCAGGGCAGGCGAGTGCGGCGGGACGGCCGGCGTCGACGAGAAGTCGAACGCGAACAGCTGGTGGGCCCTGATACTCGTGATCGTGCCGTGTTTGACGCTCTTCGGTAACGTGCTCGTTATCTTGGCGGTGGTGAGGGAGCGTACCCTGCAAACCGTCACGAACTACTTCATCGTCAGCTTAGCGGTCGCCGATCTCCTCGTAGCGGTGCTTGTTATGCCGTTCGCAGTCTACGTGCTGGTAAGTCACTCTTCGTGGTACCATACTACCGCGCGTGTCTCGTCAATTTGGATTCTACGTGATCGCGTGGCGACGTCAAAAGTACCCGACGCGTATATATTCGCAAAAATATCCCCCGTAACTTCTATCATTCTCTGTATTATTCCATAACCGCGAGTGTCCTCCTTTCTCCAAATATACCTCGAAGCGTCTCGTCGTGTTCTTATCTTCTTCGCGTTTTCAACAGAATTTTGATACACATTTTAGATACACCTGGGAGATATCGGAGAGAAATACAACGTTAAATATTAAGTGAACGCTTATCTAATCGCTACACAACTAGAAAATATCCCGCTTGTCGATCATCACGCTCCAATTCCGTAAGCGAACACGAGGTGAGACACGTAGATAGCTTCAGAGATGTACATAACGCACGTATATAGTCCGTATCTTATGTTTTTGATTTTATTAACGTATCTTACCGAGTGTTTGGAAGGGCTCGTGTGAAAATTCAGGAGCGACGCGTCTTCGCCAATTTATCATTCGTAGAGGCTCGAGCTGTTCGGAATTCAACGATGCCGATACAGTCGGCGAAGGGTACTCCCGTAAACTGTACACCGTTATATAATTTGTAAATAAGTTGAAAATTCCAGAGGTGGAGTTTCACATCGATCGCGAGTTTAACTGTTAATTAAGCACCACACACGGCGTTTGCGCGCACTCGATTGCCACCGACACTATCAAAGAACGCCAGAAGAAGAAATTGATTGGCACTCGCTCTCTCGAAAGCTTTGCCCTCGCTAACTGGCATATTGATTAAAGAACGGCGCGGCAGTTTCTCATTAATTAGAGAAAAACCGAACGAATCTTTGTAAATTGAAACGTTGCCTCGATGTTCCTCGGAACGAGGAACTAACGTTAATTTGGCACAAGAAAATGCCCTTTGAATTTTTGCACGGCGGTTTACCAACATCCTTGCGCGCGTCGTACAAGTGGGAAGCTGTCTGGCAATGCGCGAGTACCTCGAGAGTGGCTTGGCAATTGTTTACAGAGCGGGCATTGAACAAACGAGGAGACAGTTTTGTTAAGGTAACTCGCTTTAGCGCGAGGGCCAGGTCGCACACGTAGGTGAATCGAATGAAAACAAGATTAGTTAATTAAAGCCATTCGGGTAATTCTGCAGATGACGGCCAACGGCGTGGGCCGGCCCGTTGTCAGAGAGATGTGTTGGCGAGCACAATTGTTTTCGAATGTGCCGTCGCTATCGTTGAAAACGTCGGTGTCGCGCGCTTTGTCCGGAAAAATTCCCTACAAATTGGCTTCTTCCGCAGCTCCTGTGTCTATGAAAGGCTATCTTTCTCATCATGTGTCTATTTTATATATCCATTAAATACCGTGTACCATGGGACGACGCGTAAAATCGTTGTGTACAAAATGGGGATAAAGAATGATCACTTTTACAAAGATTTTCAAGTGAGAACATCTCCGATAACACGCGTTTTCGTTCGTGGCAAATAAATCACGATGTTGTAAAAATACAAAAGACTGAATGTCTGAGTGCATAAATAAAAGACGCGTAAATAAATTGTAAAATATTCCACGGGCCGTATATTGCAAGGTGTAACGCGTGGAATGAAATTTCAGTCACGTGAGAGGCCGCTGGTAACGATGTCGCGTGACGATAACGCAGGACGCGACGAAAAAAGAGGGTTATTTATAATCGCCGAGGCGCTGAGTACAAGAACAATGCAACACTGTGAACCGCCCGCATTGAACGTTAATTTACCCAGGAAGACTTTCATACAGTCGGTTTAATCACCAATTAAACGCGCGCTTTATGTGTCACGGCTCGGGCATAGCCCGTAATTACGAAGATGATGTCGATACTGGATATTTAGCCGCTTTTGCAAAGCGCCCTGGAGATGGGGAACAGCCTTGACTGATTTTGTCGTCGCGCGTATGCAGCAGAAGCCTGTCGACCTCTTTGTCAATTTTTTATTACTCTTCTGATATTATAACGAGCGCGCGCGCGCAGAGAACCAGGTGAAAGAAGTTGATTAATATATTCAAGAGAAGAGAGAAAGACGTGCGCGCGCAACGCGATATCAGCGCTGCCATTCAGTCACCGGGACAAAAAAAAAGGGAATAGCTTCTTGGTAGAAAAGGTGGCAAGAAATGACCTCTCAGGTATCAAATAGTTAACAGTGACATTTTTGTCAAATTCTGAGAGTAACTTTCCGAGAGGCCATTTAAGCAAATAAGTAACACTTACCTCCTCAGATTTATCTTTGGATAACTTAATTTATATAGCGAATTCTTTCCATATATGGCTCGATAGTTCACAACAAGGAAGAAGACCAAAGGGTATGAACGATACAATACAAGTACACTTTCCGGGCAGTTTTATAAAAAGAAACGGCATGCAGAACGCCTATATTTTACAAATTTAATGGCAGAGTTCGGGAAAAATAAAGTGACTATGGTAACCCACTTTAGACGACAGTGAATTTTTCAGTGACTTGTCGAGAAAAATGACAGAAGGCGACTTAAATGACAGGATGGTAGCGCTGCGATAATCGATAAAAAAACCAGAGACTATCAAAATAACAAAAATAAAATGTGCGATTCATGGAAAGCAGCTGTTTATAGGTCGAACAGTGCAAACACTTTCGCAGAGCTGCGTTAGTATTTTATTCCCGAGGGAAAACTTTTCACGCTGGATTTTTGTTTTCATCGTTAGCGGATCATCTGCTTACCCTGGCACGTTCCATTGTAGATTACGTCGCATCGTCCGCACGTGATCTTGTTTTAAAATCGCCGGCTACGCCGAAAGAGTTGGGCGACACGTTTCATTCCCGACGTGCATCTTTGTAAATGCGACAGCACAGAGAAAGAAAAGAGCGGGATGCGGGTTCGCGGAAAATCCGTAACGTACCGCAATTTTCTCGAAATAGAACCGACGCGGTCGCTGTAACCCGTCATTCGACCCGCGGCGGTTCACGACCTCGGTTTCGGCTATACACATGCGGATCGAACTAGACAAAAAGTACGATCGGTCAATTAAGGCTACGTCCGTAATTCCACGTGCGAGCGGCCGTCAATGTAGTTTTCGCCCATGTCTGGATGCGTCCCACATTTTCCGCGATACGCAACTTCATCGTGGTTGTGTGGGTGACGGAATTGTCGACGAAGACAGATTGCGAAAAAAACCCGAGATGAAATTTGTTTTCCTACTGCGTACCGCGGAATACACGGCGTATTCCTAGATTGCCTCGGTAATCACAGCCAGGAATATATAAGTAGATTCCGGCATTTTTATCATATCTTCTAACGGTGAAGAAAGAAAAATAGGAGTTGTGAAATTATTAATCAACAATCATTCAACAATTACGTTAAATTGGAATATTTTTCTCCCTTCTCGTCATAAAGTATTTGCTCTTTTTCAATATTACATGTAACATGTAGAATAAAAAGAAAATCAAAAAGAAAAACAGAATAAAAAATTTGCTTATAACTATATCGGGTAATAATTACTAGACTGCACGCCACTATCTTTTTCTACAATACAAGTAATTTTTAAACATATAATATCAAATTAATGACTTCATCTTATAATTTTGATTAGTAAATGTTATTAATGTTATTTAAATGTTCTTTTTTGAAGAATAAATTTTAAAAATGTTCACCAAATGTAATGAAATGTATTGCGAGTGCAAACAAGTGAATAACTGTGCGCATCCATATTTACAAGTTAAGCAACCTAATATAACGTTCTATTGTTTATTATTCCTCTTTCACTCTCCACTCCTTCTTACCATCGTAGACTGTCACGCAAGTTAATAGACTTCCTCCTCCTCGTGGTGTGACGTAATTGTTGAATGGTCCCGTATATAAGAATTTACTAATATTTCAGCCGTTCGAGTACAAACAGAATTTTCGAAAACAATTCAATTCACTTGAAATAAATTTGAACTTTACGCACGTAATAACTATAATTACTACCTTCGTTGCACGTAATATGGACGCTTATAATAATCGGACGTCGCTGTATATCTCGCGAGAAAATTTCAAACCGATCGATTCCGCGTCGTTCGCGGAGACGTATTCACATCGTGACTGTGCGGTTTTCCTTTAACTCTGCAACGGGGCGGAGATGAGTGTCTCGTTTTAATTGCATCTTAAATGATCCTCCCGCTAGCATCCTTGACATTCTGCCAAGGCAGCTGGCGACCAGCGCCGCTCCAGATAACATCTGCCATGATAAAATCGGAGGTGTGCATCTACGATGTCTAAGTGCAAACACGGCAGAACGTGCCGAGATCGTCCCCCGTCCGCTTAAACGGTCGTTTCGGAGTTTCACATTAAACGATTTACTAGCGTGGCATGTATGCGCCGCGACGAAAGCGTCACCGTTGTGTTAGAGCACTTTACTCTCTTCACAGTATATTCGGTACGGCGGCGACGGTGACGGCGGTAACGTCATCCTCCTTTTAACGACGAGTGAAAAATGGCTGCTCTTCACGCGTTTGTACCTCGAATTCCTTCAGCTATGCTTCCGCGACGAAATTCCGCAAGCTTGCGGTAGCCGAGCGAATGAACGGCAGCTGAGCCGAAAGTAGCGATCAAAGTTACAGTTACCTCTCGCGCGATCTTCTCATGCACCTTCCAGTGAAGAAAACGTGCCAGGGAAGGATTAAATGTTTCTTATCCGAAAGGACCGGTTTTAAAGGATTTGTACGTGAAAGTTATTATTAGGGGAAGGGTAACTCTGTGAGAATATAAAGGACCATGAATTATTCTTACCTATCCAGGGAGATTTCACGTAATTCCACTTTATTAATGACTAATTTAATCCGGCAGAAATACATCGAATTTATTATTTCTTAATTGATCAGGCAATTCCAAGGAAATTCGAAGGTTTCATATATCATACCTAATATAAAATTAAATATACTTAAAGAGTGATACTTAAAGAATGAAATGTAAAATGTACGAAAGTTGTTCGAGCGAACTGAGTTTTA